ATACCAATCAGAGGACGACAGCAATGAGTCTGCAGGAACCAATCAGCAGCAACCAAACCAGCAGAACAAAACTATAGGGTCATAACAATACCACTTCACTTTTATATCCAGAGCAGAACAAAGAAATATTTAAATCAGCTGTAAAGACCTTTTGGTTTGTTAGGATCTCGTGACCCGAGAGCACACCTGGCCAGAGAAGGGAAAACATTCTCACCAACACACCCTTCAGCAGCAGAACAGATAATATAAGTGACTGCTGTGAAATAGAGAGCATTTACCAATCACACCGATACCTTTAAAATGATACGAAACAAGAAAACATTAAAGCAATGGATCCTTCACATATAATAAGTGCAGTATAAGCACATAACCGGAGATCCTGACACTCTGAGTCATTAGGTCACACACTCAGGAGGGAGAGAGGTAGCTTAAGGATAAAAGGGACAGTTGAGCAAATGGTTTTCTTTGAGATCTTGTCTTCAGATTAGTGAGTTCTGTTTTGTGAGAGTTCCTGAACTTTGGTTTCATAGGAAAAGATCATTTCTGCCTCAGTGCTCTAGCAGCACTCATCATGACAACATTACTGAGATGATAGTTGAAATTCAAGCACGAATTCATGATTGCTTTCATGAAAAAGGGCGAGGCACGATGTAAGTAAATGCGCAATAGTTGCAAATTCCTAGCCTGTTTTTAAGATGTTGTGCACATACCGTGAACACACACCCAGCGCAGTAAACGACAACAACATCCAGTCACACAAGCTACTCGACTCTTTTCAAAGTAGGGGTGCTATCTACGTGATTCATGTGAATGTGACGACAGTAGCATTGCTCTGTTGTGTTTTCAACATATTAGGAGCACAACTAAAATTGAATGGGTAAATATTAAAAAAATATTATTTGCAGTTCAGATTGATTACTTTACACATATTCTTATTTTTTTACTGTACTCTTTTCCAGTTAAAAAGAATCACCAGCGTAGAAACAATGATCTAGAGAAAGAGAACAAAGAGGGTTGTTTTCTACTATTCAATAATGAACCTTTTTCCTGCAAGTTCCACTAGGCTACCCATAAAAGCATGATTTTGCGCTTTTTTATTTAATTTAATTTGACATACATCAGCAGCAATGAAATAAAGCACCGCTTTTAATTAAATTATCACAGCAAAGCAATATTACGATCCCTTTTTTCCGATTTAAAATTGAGACTGTGAAGCAGCACATATGACACACAGATGATATACAGGTGCATCTCAATAAATTAGAATGTCGTGGAAAAGTTAATTTATTTCAATAATTCAACTCAAATTGTGAAACTCGTGTATTAAATAAATTCAATGCACACAGACTGAAGTAGTTTAAGTCTTTGGTTCTTTTAATTGTGATGATTTTGGCTCACATTTAACAAAAACCCACCAATTCACTATCTCAACAAATTAGAATATGGTGACATGCCAATCAGCTAATCAACTCAAAACACCTGCAAAAGTTTCCTGAGCCTTCAAAATGGTCTCTCAGTTTGGTTCACTAGGCTACACAATCATGGGGAAGACTGCTGATCTGACAGTTGTCCAGAAGACAATCATTGACACCCTTCACAAGGAGGGTAAGCCACAAACATTCATTGCCAAAGAAGCTGGCTGTTCACAGAGTGCTGTATCCAAGCATGTTAACAGAAAGTTGAGTGGAAGGAAAAAGTGTGGAAGAAAAAAATGCACAACCAACCGAGAGATTTGGCACCTGCCCACACTGCCAAAAGCACCAAAATTTGGTTAAATGACCATGGTGTTGGTGTGCTTGACTGGCCAGCAAACTCACCAGACCTGAACCCCATAGAGAATCTATAGGGTATTGTCAAGAGGAAAATGAGAAACAAGAGACCAAAAAATGCAGATGAGCTGAAGGCCACTGTCAAAGAAACCTGGGCTTCCATACCAGCTCAGCAGTGCCACAAACTGATCACCTCCATGCCACGCCGAATTGAGGCAGTAATTAAAGCAAAGGGAGCCCCTACCAAGTATTGAGTACATGTACAGTAAATGAACATACTTTCCA